TCACTCACTCACTCACTCACTCTGCCGGACCCCTGTGGAATGAAAAAATGTGAGGGAGTTAGGCTTGCCCACCCACAGGGTAAGAGAGAGCTGAGCACACTCAGCTAGGAGGTTGACTGCCTGCAGTGGGCTACTGCAGCCACTTACTGGAAGAGCCAAAGAGCTTTGTGCCAAAGACAAACTGCCCTTTAGAAATTCTAAACATTTTCTTTTCTTTGCCTCTTGTAGATGCTTCCTTTAAACACACATCTCCTAATCTCTCAGCCTCTCTGGATAGCTCTACCAGTACTTTCAAATGCACATTCCCTGGATGGGGCTCAGGTGGGGTTCTTTCCGTTTGTTTTTCCCGACACTCCCAATCCTATCGACACAGGGCTACCACATTCAAACCAACAGCCTGGGTTTCTTTTCGGTCAATCCCCTTTAGCATATCCAATCCGATATTAGCCGAAGACAGGTACACCCTCTCCATTCCAAACCTAGCTCACCGGCGTCGTCGCTGAGTCCATGCTGACTCATAGCAACCTCCTGTGTGGGGTTTCTGAGACTGTAACTGTTGACGGGGTTCTAGAAAGCCCTGTCTTTCTCCCACCCTCTCGATAACATATTAATTTCTAGCACCCATGTATGTCTTTTATAGCACTAGGGAGGAGAAGCATTCACTGTCACAGTACAGTCGGCTAAAGAAGTGGCCCTTTCTTATTTGTCCACCGTCTTCTTGGACCGTAACCAGCGGCTCATTCAGTCCATTGGCTCAGTCCCACCGAGCAGAGCTGTACGGTCAGCAGCACCGTCGGTCTAGCGCATGCTCTCCTTTCGTGGACTCTTTGCACAAGTCATTCCGGTTCGTCTTTTCCTCACCACCCTGCCCTGCAGTGTGGCCCGGGACCTCTGCATTGGTGGAACCACAAGACCCGGCCTCTTATCACTCATCTTGTTTACCTGCCTTGGCTTTTGTCACAGGCTGCTTCAGCCATCCTTTTCCCTCAGCCCTAGGATCGCATCGCCTGCTTCCCGGGCAGCCTTTCTAGGTCACAGCAACCCTAAGAACCACCCAAGAGTACACAAGTTGACCCCCTGGGCCCCCTGCTCCTTTCTCTTAGAATTGCAGCAGATCCCACTTCACTGCCTTTCTGGGGTGGGGGAGAGACATCCAGCCTCTTCTAACCTCCCGACAGGGAAATCCCTTCCTGCCTATGAGCTGGAGGTGAGGCCTGCCGCCACCTTCAACCTGTTTGGAATCCAGAGACCAGTCATCCCATCATGGCACGCGAAACTCCTCTGCCGGGTTTAGTAACTTGCTGCACGTCCCACACAGAACTCGCAGGCAATACTCACTGATTGTAACCTGTTAAAATTCAGGCTCGTACGTGCCTCCGTCTGACAATCTTCCCAGCCATTTCCGCGGGCAGCGCGCTCTCTGGCCCTCATCCCCTTTGGGCTCCATGGTCCTCTTGGGCTGGCCCGGCCTCTGTCCTACTTGGACAAGTGTCCCAAAGCTCTGTAGCTCTGCCAGTATGTACCTGGAGTGGGGGCGCCCCGCTCTACTAGTCAGCCTCCTCCAGGGGGGTTACCCATTGGCCTTGTCCACGGGACTAGGGATGTGTGGGAGAGAAGAGGCTAGCTGGTCTAAAATGCAGACAGCTGGGTGGACTCCCAAGCCAATAGCTAATAGGCATGGACCTAGTCCGCAGGGGCGAGGGATGAGCCGCCCAGAAGCTCAGTGAATGAAGAGAAACATGTTTGACACCAGGAGCTGATAGAAATCACTGAAATGTGATGGCTTGCTCGGGACTGGACTTTGCTTGTGAATGTAGATGCGCCGGGTTCTAACAACAGAGGCATCTAAGAGCAAGGAACCTGCTGGTCTCAGAGTAACGACTGGGTAGGAATTTGGAAACTGGCTATCTGAGATAGGGTGAGAGCAAGGCTGAGTCACGTGCCTTCACGAGTGTGTCACTGAGATTGAGGGGTCCTCTCGCCACTGCACAGATGTTGGTGCTTCTCTGGGGTGTTTGAGGAAGCGGATGAAGGAGGATGCTGGGGCTCCTCTACAGGTCTTCTTATATTCCCTGAAATTGCTTTCTCCCTGCTTGGAGTTGTGGACCCAAGGCCAGGGGTGATGGCTAAGCAAGAGACCATCCACTGTACCCTTGAACCTGTATGCCAGAATTCCCAAGGGTCTGACTGGATGGATCCTGTCTTCCCACCATTTGACACAATTTGGGTTGATGGTGAACACTACTTCTGCATTGCCTACTCGTTGAGATAGCTCATTCGTGGCGTTGCACCTGTGATCCATATCCATGAGAATGGGAATGGCCTGAGGGGAAGAACTAGACCAGGCTCGCCACCAGCACTCTGCACTGGCAGTGGGTTAAAAGTAGGTGGTCATCGAGTGGGGGAATCTAGCATCGTGCTAATACCTCAAGAAAGACTAGCCGCAAGGCAATGACCTCTGAGCTAAATTTCATCAAAGGCCAGAAAGGGTGACGCTAAGGCAAGTTTTGGAGATCCCTACTGGATCCGATAGATAACCTGCAGTAAGCGTGTGGCTGTTACCTCCGTGGCCTCACCAGGGGGACTCTGCCCGCCTGAAGGACTAATTGGTAATGATCCTTTGGAACTGGTAAAATGATTTGGAAGGGAAGTTAATTATTCAGCTACGAATGGGTCACTAGCTAGTATAGCTCTGCCAGCCATGGTCTTTGTAACTGCCACCAAATGACTGGATGGGACTATGCAAATGAAGTGATTACAGTCTACCAAGGAGATTGGCTACCTTGCTGATAATGTAAATAAGGCTCATAGTGTGTGGAACCCTCATGAGGGGGGAGGGAGGCTTGTTCTTTCGGCAGTTCGCAGAGCTTTCGAGATGCTGGGCCAACACCATCATATAAATGCATTGGGTATTTTTCTCTGGTCTTCCTTCTTCAGGGTCCAACTTTCACATGCATATACTGTGCGGTTGAAAATACCACAGCTTGGGTCAGGCCCACCTTAGTCTTCAAAGAAGCACCCTTGTTTTTCAACACTTTTAAGAGGTCTTATGCAGGGGCTCCGGAGAGGCGAGGATGGTGAGACTTGGTGATGTACTGTAGACATGCTGTCGGGAGAGACCGGTCCCTGGCAAAGGACATCGTGCTTGGTAAAGGAGGGTGGGGGGGAGGAGGAAGTCCCTCTCTGAGGTGCAGTGACAGTGCCTGCATGGATGGGATCAAGCCTCGGAACGATTGTGATGCAGACGGCACCAGTCTAGGCAGTGGTTTGTCATGATGCTGACTTGATGGGACCCAACAACAACGAGAGGATTGGCCGGTTTTGCCATCCGGCAATCCCAGGGTGGAAATGAGGTTCCTTACTACCACCAAGAAAGAAGAGTGGGGAGCAGTGTGTCCTGTGGGCCTAGGATCCCTGTACTGAGAACCTACTAGGCCAAGGAGACGGAGAGAGCTGTCATCTCGGAGATGGCGAGAGACAGCAAGAAGCAGCGGTGGGGAAATGGCACCAGCCGACGCAGCAGAATTAGGAGACGGTGCCAAGGACTTCGTGGTCCATGGGTCAAGAGCTGAGTGTCTTTGGGCAGGAGACGTGGAGGAGCGTGCCTCCAGCTGCTTAACAGGCCAGCCCACGAGATCTCAGGGTTCCCAAGTGGACCAAAGGACAGGACCAGAGAGAGACCTCCCTGTGGGCACAGCTAAGAAGAAGTTGTCCCGACCAAAGAACTGTCTCTCCTGAGTTGTTTCTGGTCTTGAGTTTTATTGCCTGTGACTTGCCAAATAAATCGCAGAGTCAAGAGTACTAGGAGTCCGGTGTGGCCTTTGCAGTAAATTATAGAACAAGCAGAGAAGTAGAGGGCGGTGGGAGGGCTGGCTGGTGTCCGAAATGATTTGTTGGTTGGTTTGTTTTTAAAAAGGTTAGAGTGTAGAAGCATATCTGATCTCCACTTTGCTCTTTCGGAACCAGCCTTGGGCTCTTGATCTTGACCTTGATGTTGACTCTGCTTATGAAGTTAGAGGGGACCAGATGCCCTCACCTCGACCTCTTTACCTTGGTGTTTCACAGAATCCAGGTCTGGGTCCTTGGCCTCTTAACTAGCATAGGCCTTAGGAGAAGTAGGCAGATCAGTAGCCAGCTTGTTGGGGATTCAACCTTGGGTTTTAGTCCCCAACACGTATGTGTGAGTATCCTTGCTGCCACCGTCTGATGAACCCCAGAGACTCTGGGCGGGAGTGGGAGAGGCTTCCTGGTCCTTCTAAAAACTACTTTTCTGAAATCAAGAGCAACCTATCCATTAAGGGAACACAATGGTGCTTGTTTCTACCCTATAGTTGGAACGTGTTGGCTTTGGGTTTTATAAACACTATAATTTAACGGAGCATTGCTTCATAAATTCCTTAGCAGTAACTCAGAAAGTGAACCTGGGGATTTTTTTTTTTGGGGGGGGTGTCTCTGCCCTTTTGTGTCAAAGAAGTGCTGCTGAAGTAACTAATATTAATATACAGGATTGCAGCCCTGCTTTCAGTCGTTTTCCTCTTTTCAAAACGATAGCGTGTTGATTGCATTTCTCAGACACCAAAACACGAAATCGGAAACCAGGGATGCAAACAAAACACCCTCCTGCTCGTCATTCTTCTCGGCCGTTAAATGCCACTTGCTGTTGCTGATGACTCCGAGCAAAAAACGAGGAGTGCGTGTGGGACCCCAAAGCTAGAGCTGGCCCTTCTGTCCCTGTTCTGGTTTTGTCCTTCTGCTGACGGGGTCTTGGCAAGCGTTAGAGCCAAAGCCTGAGACCCTCCTGTGGCCCCTGAAGCCCACCCTTCGGAAGGCGTTTGAAAGCCACAGCTCAGGCCACGAACACTGATCTTTGGGCTACAGGAAAAGGCAAAACCCGTTGTCTTCGTCTCCAACTTGTGTTAAGTCTGTGGCAGTGCACCTCCTTGGGTTTTAAACGGGAAAACCAAACTCCGACCCCTGAGTCCCCATTGTCCGTCTCACAGGTTGTCCAGGATGGCTGTGTGGATCCAGGCCCAGCAGCTTCAGGGGGACGCCCTGCACCAAATGCAAGCCCTCTATGGCCAGCACTTCCCCATCGAGGTGCGCCACTACCTGTCCCAGTGGATTGAAAGTCAAGCTTGGTAGGTGCACGGCCAGAATGGAGAAGAAGAATAACTGATCCTGTATCAAAGGGGCAGAGGGGAGGATGAGGGAGGGAGGGAGGGGGAAAAAGAAGAGCTGATACCAAGGGTTCAAGTAGAAATGTTTTGAAAGGGATGATGGCAACGTCTGTACAAATGTGCTTGAGATAATGGAGGTGTGGATTGTGATAAGAGCTGAAACAGGCCCCAATTTTAAAAAAGAAAAAGAAACACCCTGTATGTTTACAAAGCCCATCTCCAGAAATGAAATTAAACATATCATCCCGTTGAACCCTTGCAATCAGTGGCTCTCCCTACCCCGGCTTTCCTCTCTCCCCCACTACCCTCTCCCACCCCTCTCCCCATTCCCGCCCCCCACCCCGGAGTCATCAGCGTTTTGTCTTTTGGTGTATAAACCACGTTTCTTTTTCTATGTTTTCCCTTATAATAAAGGTGTTATTAAATAGTGAAGTTTTTTAAAAAAAATAAGTTTCCTTCCTTTCATAATACAGTGCTTGCTAAGAGCGTTAGAGTTTTGCTGCTAATTGGTTGCAATCAACTATTGGAATGTTGGAATGCCCAGCATTCTCAGTAGTATCAGTAGGGTCTACCTGAAAGGAAAACAAAAAGCTAACGCTCTGCCCTTCAAAGGATTTATGTTTAAGGGGCAGACACGTGGGAGAAAGAGGAGGCTTTCCACTCCCGGGAAGAGTTAGTCTCAGAAACCCACAGAGGCCGCTCTGCTGCCCCACCGGGTCGCTCCTGGCCAGCAGGGACTCGGGCAGTGAGCGAGTGAGAGGGGGTGGGTAAAGTATGTCTATGTTGATATTTTTGTTTGATCAGAAATGTATTTTTTTAAAAAAAGAAATGTATTTTATTACCAAAAGGTAAATGCACCGAGATAGTAATAGTAATTTTGTTTCCGTTGGCGGATGTAATGAGCATTTTTGCTTTTCTTGATTTTCCAAGTCACTGCCAGCATGCATCTTAATATTCTTTCAGCTTTGAGGAAATGCAGCCGACTGTCCTCAAAGCGCTTTCATGGGCAGCAAGTGTTGCCTCCCAGGGGCAGGTCGCATGGGCGCCCGGTGGGTCTTGTCAGTCAGTGGGCTGGGGCCTATGCACGGGATACCGGGTAGCGCAGCTCCCCCTCGGGAGGCAGACAGACCCGCGGGAGAAGCCGGCCTTTATGCGACCGTCTGAAGAGGGCGGAATCCGAGTCAGCGACGGGCTTGGACTAATTGCCATGGCGTGCCACGCCAGTCGCAGACTCCTGCCCAGAAACTGCAGAGTACCTACCACGGGAAGAACATTTCCTAGGGAATGAAGAAAAAAAAACCTCCTGTAATCAAGGGAGGGAAAAAGACAAGCTCCAGGTGACAGTGTCAGCCGCACCGCGGCTGGGGCTTGTTCATTTCCTCTGCCTTTTCTTTTCTGTTTTAATGATCTCGATGCTTCGGAAAAACATTAGTCAGAAGTTTCTGTTGGCTTGAAATTTCACTTAGCTGATTTTCCATGTTGTCTTCTCCCTCCACGAGTGCTTAAGAAGAGACTTGTGTTGATGGGTGTTCGTTTTTGAAAAACCTCAGTTATAGTTCCTTTTTGGCCTTCTTAGGATTTTTTTAAATCTTCAATCCCTTATGTTTAGATGCCTAGCCAAACCTATTTCAAGCAGAGAATGCCATGTTCAAGGACAGGAGCAGGCCTCCATTCCCCCGAGTTTGGCAGAGCGCCTGCCTGGGTGTCCCCAGGGGCCAGCTGTGCTGGGGGCAGTCAGAGGCGTAGCTTGAGAGCCTTCGACTTGAACGTGTGTCTCTCAGGTCAGCATATCATCCAAGGTTGCCTTTACTCGCTGCCTTCTCAAGGGACAACTTGGGGATCTTCCTGGATGAAGTCAGACACTCGTGTTTTGGCATAGCCGTCGGTGTGCCTGTGTGAAATTAGCTACTAATTTCACAGGATCGTAGATGACAGAGCCTGTAGCCACCACTAGTTCTCCTATTTAGCGCTCCAGCAGGTCAGCGGTAATTGCACATGATGCCAATCTGTCAACTGTCTGGCTCCTTCCGTGAACTGAGTCATTTAATACTGCCCATTAGCAATTGTTGCTCAAGTTGTTTAAAAGAAAGAGACGGAAAGAGGGGAGTGGGAACGAAGGGAGGGAGGCGGGGAGGAGGGAGGAAAACTTTCCAACCTTTGCCACTCGATGAACTCATGGTCCCTGGAGTGGTTTCCCTTGGTCAGTCAGAGCTAGCATTGCCCACTGGTCCCAAATCTGCCACTAGTCACAGAAAGCTTTGGCTAGTTTGACAATTCTGCTAGGCATCTTCTGCCTTAGTGGCTCATTTCCAGGGAGCTGTAGAAATAGCAGGATAGTGTGCGTGTATGTGACCTGTCTTTCCTTAAGAACTATATCATTGCAAGTGGCAGCATAGACGGAGAACCCCTTGAGGCTGGCAAGAACAGGTCATGGAGAACATTCCTGACCGGATGGCCCCAGGGAAGAACTATAAATAGGAAATGATCAGAACCCTTATTCCCTTGATGCACACAAGCACAAAGCGTGTCCCCTTTGCCCGGAAGGAGGAGGAAACAGCCAGGGCAGGACGTTGTAAAAGAAAAGAAAGGAGAGTATGCGTTTGTGGGGCAAACCCAGTGTCTTGTCATCCCACTTTTCCAGGAGCTCCCGGATGCCCTCTTGTAAACAGTCCCACCAAGGTGATGAGTGGATTAGGAACAGGTGGTGGTAGGATCGAATCCATTCCTATAGGACTGTGCCTAAAATTTACAGGGAGCATAAATAAAAAAAGCTGTGGCGGCTGCATTGATGCAGGCGCCCATGCTCCCCTTTGCATACCTCTGTGTGTAATTTTCCCCAGGGACTCAATAGACCTGGACAGTCCACAGGAGAACATTAAGGCCACCCAGCTGCTGGAGGGCCTGGTGCAGGAGCTGCAGAAGAAGGCCGAGCACCAGGTGGGGGAGGACGGTTTTTTGCTGAAGATCAAGCTGGGCCACTATGCCACGCAGCTCCAGGTGGGTGCCCAGCACCGGAGGCCTCCTCCTCGTCCACTCTCCAGCAGGGATCCTTCAGTTCCGAACTTTCTGTAGAAAGCTGCCAAGGAGCCTTGGTGGTGCAGGGGTTAAGTGCTTAGCTGCTAACAAGACATTGGCACTTCGCACCCCCAGCTCCACCAGGGAGAAGGACGTGGCCATCTGTGGTCAGCCAGACCACAGCCTGGGAGCCCTCTGGGCCCTGCCGCCGTGAGGGTCGCGCTGTCAGAATCAACTCAACGGCAGTGGGGTTTGGGTTGTGGTTTGGTTTTTTAATTATGAGGATTTATTTTTTCTGGGTGGAGGCGTTGATTCGTTTCTGTAGCCCCGTTGAGTTGCATGTCACGTGCCCAAGACTCTTAGGTTTGGTTCTGTACATGTGACTTTGGGTTTTTTTTTAACTTTTTATTTGGTAGCAATCTCCACATTCCAAACAAGTGTAGAGGCCCATCACCAAAAAGTTCTGTCTGTGTCTTACACAGATGAACATTTCCTTTGTCATACTCCTTTGCCTCTCTTCCTACCTCTGTTCTCTCTCGCTCTGTCTGTCCGTCTGTCAGTTGAGAGCAAGCTGCATTCCCCACACCCCCTTTCCCATCAGTTCTTCAGTGAGCGGTTTCTGTGAGCGTGAACCCTCTCTTCCATGTTAGCAGTACTTACCAACCTCCGTACGTTTAGCACCGAGAGAGGACTGTCACGCAATCTCCCATCATCCCGTGTGTCACCTGACCTCGTCATATCCTGTGGGAACAGGTCTTTGTCCTCTCCAGCCCAGGATCACAGATGGCACGCCTAGCCTTGAACTCTCCCTCTGAAACCTCCCCGAACCTCTCTTTATCTTTCACTACATGGCCTTCTTCTCTCCTTTTAAAAACAATGCAGCCCTCCCTGGCTTTCCAAGGTAAAATGTCCTTACGGTGGGCTTGTGTGCTGTTTTCGCAGGAGTCAGCATTTGATCCAGGTGGGAATTCTCAGTCCATGGTGGTGTCATCTATGAGGGGTGGGGGGCGTGTCCAGAGACATCCAATGGCCGTGGTGAAACGGGGCAATGTCTGTATTGGATTCTTTCAGAACACGTATGACCGCTGCCCCATGGAGCTGGTCCGCTGCATCCGCCACATCTTGTACAACGAGCAGAGGCTGGTTCGAGAAGCCAACAACGTGAGTGTCCCATGGGTGGGGGAGATGACGTGAGAAGTCCTTCCTTCTGTCTGGGTCCTACTTGGTGGAGGTGGCGCCGTGTGGATTTATTGGCTTCTCTATGATCAGTATTATCCTGAGGGTAACACAAAAAATAGAAAACATCATCGCTGACCTTAACGGGTCTGTAACCTCGGCAAATTTGCAACCATAAAACAAGGGGAACGGTGTCAAATCATCTATCCTGACTGACTCGTGCCTGAGTAAAAGTGCTGGTGAAATTGTGTAGGGGAGACGTCTTCCTGGCCCCTGAGTTAGGAGTTGAAGGAGTGGATCGGCGTCACAGCAGGGTCTTGAGAGGGACACATGGTGTAGGGTGTGCCCCGCCTCACCCCCTCGATTGGTCCTTGGCCTGAGGTCAGCAAGGGGATATGGAACACGTGGCCATCGTCACAATCTGCCATCGTCGAGTCAGTCCTAACTCATAGTGACACCCCACCCCACCCCACCCCAAGTGGGCTTCTGAGACCGTAACCATTGATGGGAGTAGAGAGCTCATTCCTTCTCCCAAGGAGCTGCCGGTGGTTTTGAACTGCAGACCATGCAGCTCGCACCCCAACGCGTAACCACTGTGCCACCAGGACGAGTGGGTCGCTCTGAGTCAGAATCGATGCCAGGGCAGGGCGGTGTGTGTTTAGTACTTCGAGTACCTGCGCCGGGTGCCGGGTTCCAGAGAGAAGGTTCCTCCCGGCTCCATGAAGGTGTGCGAGTCTGTCACACGGGTCACCAAGATGCGTTTGTCTATTCCGGAGAACAAACGCCTCGACGCCCCCTCTGGCTGTTTGAAAACATTTGACCCTGCTTTGGCACCCCCCCATAGATCTTTGCAGCACTGCTCCCAGGGGACGACACTAGGCACTTGGGGAAGCACTGGTCTATCAGGGCACCTGTTTGTCCTCTTGTCCCCATGCCACCCCAGTTCCGAAGATGTTTATGATTCCTTCAGACTCAAAAGTGACAGGAGCTGGCATTCGATTTTCTGAAGAAGTAAGGCCTACGGCTCGCTCCCATCCCCACTGCCCCCTCACTGCTGCCTGCACTGTACCCCTTGTCTGCCCCCAGGGGAGCTCTCCAGCCGGGAGCCTGGCTGACGCCATGTCCCAGAAACACCTCCAGATCAACCAGACATTCGAGGAGCTGCGGCTGGTCACGCAGGACACAGAGAATGAGCTGAAGAAGCTGCAGCAGACCCAAGAATACTTCATCATCCAGTACCAGGAGAGCCTGAGGATCCAGGGTGAGGCTGCCGCGCGCGAGCCCTTGGGGCAGGAGCGACGTGAAAGGAAGCTCAGCTCCAGGTGGGACAGAGCTGGTCTTCCATGCTGAGACAGTCACCTTTCTCTGGAGCAAACAGAGGAGCCCTGGTGACACCGTGGGTCAGCAGTTCTCCCTGGGAGAAAGATGGGTTGACCACAGGGGCTGCAGCACGAGGCTCAAGCATCCTTGTAAGGATAGTGCAGGCCAGGCAGGGTTCCATCCTGCTGTGCACTGGATCGCTGTGGGTCGGGACAGACCCCAGGGCACCCAGCAGCAGCCGAAAAGATGGATATAGGGCCCCGAGGCCCAGGAAGGGACTGGGCCACAGACAGCCTGGCCGTGGTTGTCAGTGGGGGTGTGCAGGGGGTCTTGTGCTCGCTAGACGTTGCTGAGGAGGGTCAGGAGGAGAGGAGAGGAGAGAAGGTGGGGGGGCAGGGGCTCCCCCAGAAAGACCTTCCTCTATCCGGCAGGGCCTCTCAGTCTGTGTACACAGCCAATACTTGTGTCTATGGGAGGCATTTTGTGAATGCTCTTTCCTGAAGTGATAAAAATAGCAAATATACAATTACATGTGTTCAGTTTTTGTTTTGTTTTGTTTTGAACAGTTTTATTGGCACATCATTTACCTACCATGCAATTCAATCCTTCAAGCATCTCAGGGAGAATTGTACAATCATGACCTCATCCATTTTGGAGCACACACACACCCCACGCACATGACACATGTTTTGTTTTGTTTGATTTTTTAAGAAGTCTTCCTACATGGGGCCAGGCCGGGTGGTAGACTGGTTGGGAGGTGGGCTGCGGTGCACAGGGTTGGCAGTGTGAAACCCCTCAGCCGCTCCTTGGAGCTAAGCTGAGGCTGCTGCTCCCATAGACAGCGAATGTGTCGGAAAACCTCGGGCGGTTCTACCCTGTCCTGCCGGACTGCCCCATTGACCCTGGCGAGTGTGGTTGGGTTTCAAGTAAGGACAGTATAAAGGACAACAGTTGTATTTGCAGTGACCGACTTTTTTTTTTTAATTGAGATTTTGGTGAAAGTTTATACAGCAAGCTAGGTTGCCGTTTGACAAATTCTGCACACGTGTCCCTGAGTGACACTTGTCACAGCATGTCCACATGCTCTGTGTTTAGCTGGTTCCCTCCCCAGGACCCCAGCGTCCCTGTCCCCTGACCTTCTCATGCTACTTGTGAGTAATTGTCCGCATTTCTATTCTCATGCTGGGGGTTTTTAAGGCGCGCACCATCTCATGGGCAGGAACCTTTATTCTGTGTGCCATTCTGCCATCTCCGCAAAAGGAGATCTCAGGAGAGGCTCGGTCCTAGGTTTACCGAGTGTCTCAGACGAAAAGGTACTGTCAGGAAGCCCTCTAATCTCAACCGGCCCAGTAAGTCTGGATTTAGAAGAATCTGAAGCCTGTTCCACGGTTTCCTCCCAGCCTGTCATGGCTCATCTGTTGTGCTTCTGAACAGCGCAGTGCTGATGGGAGCCGGGCACCATCTACTGCTGCGGTTCTCAACCTGGGTGTCAAATGGCCCTTTCACCGTTGTTTCTTCATCATCATCCTTCCCATGGTCTCAGGAACCGAGACAGCGCTCCTCTGTCCATCTCCAGGAGGGTCCGCCCACACGCAGATACACCCATACGGCCTCACCACCACATGAGGAACTGTATTAAAGGGTCGTGGCATTAGGAAGGCTGAGAACCACTGACTCATTTTACTGGTCTCAGGACAGAGGAGGCCAACACTCTAGATGAGTTTCTTCTCTGAGACGGTGGCTTCCATCGCTCTCTTTCACCCGTCACGAGTCAGAGACCAATAGCATTCCTCTAGTAGGGTCAGCCTGCGGGAGCTCTGGTGGCACGGTGGTTAAGTGCTCAGCTGCTAGCAGGGAGGGTGTTGGTTCAAATCCAGTGAGCAGCACCGCCAGAGGAAGAGCCGGCCTTCTCTTTCCATCCCGATGAAGCGGTTCTGCTTGTCACATGGGGTTTCCGGAGTTGAGTGGCACCCAAGAGCAACAGGTTCCATCTCAGGACACCACTGACATGATGGATCCCTCTCTCAAACATCTGTGAGACCAAAAACCCACTAGATGGGGCTGTCTTTCTCCTCCCTGTCCCTGGAGGCCTGCCACACGGCCTGAGTTATAGTAGGTGGTGAGTAAATACTAGCCTGTCTTCCTCCTGTCTGAAAGCCCCCTGCCCACCTCCCCTCTGACCCCAGAGAGAGGCCAGCGTCCAGTGGACAAGAGACTTCAGGCTGTGATTTCGCCATCTGCCCTGTGACAGATTCTGGGCTTCCCGGGTGCTGCTGTTTGATGGCCTTGGGTTTGGATGCTTGTTGGTTTGGGTGGCCCTCGTCAGGCAGGGTCAGTCCTGCCTCGTTGATCAAGTTCACCTGGCTGACACGCAGACTGTGGATCTATTTGGACCAGGGAAGGCCCCGCTCCCTCCAGCAGAGCCGAGCCAAGCAGTTGCCTCATGTCTCCCCAGACTCCTTCCAGAAGCTTCTGCAAACTGCCTGGAGATACCTAAGAGGGTCCCCTCTTGGAGTGTGGCCAGAGCCATGTGCTGCCATCCCTGTGGCCCTCCCTGTGGTGGGCAGGAGTCCCCAGGTCACTGTCCAGAGGACTCTAGGTGTCTGGGCCTGGATAGCCCTCTCCCTGCTCGGTCCCCTGCAGTTAGGTCCTGGGTTACTGATACACAGGTGGTCCTTAAATTACTTTCCCTTCTCCCATGGTAAGTATCTCACCGTTGATGAGAATGCTCACAGCCACTGTGGAGAGAGGCTGCCTCCCCCACCCGCTCTGAGGGAGCCCTGCAGGTTCCCGGTCCCCGGCAGCTAGAGAAGCCACTGTCCCCAGTGCAGAGCCCTTCCTGGAT